TTTTGGGGGGCCTTTGGCTGCGCCGTTTCCGTTTCCTAACAATAAGCACAGTGCACAGACTGCTTGGGCAGGACGGAGGATGGGGGAAGCAGGGAAGAGGGAATGGTGTAATTTGCATGAACAGACGASGAGCACATAATATCCGTGCATTAGAATTATGCCCACTGCCATGCCAAATGGCAAATAATGGCAGCCAGTGCCGGATAAATTTACTAGATAAATGCGAAAAAATTCGAAAATGTTTCGATGTTGCGGGTGGCGGGGCGAAATTGTATCTGCTGAATGTGCACATGGTGTATGCGTTATATATATGGCCGCCTCTCATTATTTGACAATAAATGCGAATGAATCGATCAGGCAGTCAGGCGCGCTGCACATTCACAGTAATTATGCTGCATAATAATCAGAGCTGAAAGTCGGGAGGATTTGCCAATTATGCCCATTACGCCGCAAACCTGATTGATGGGGGGAGGGGCGACAGCCAGATAAGTGAATGTAAGTAACTATTTTTGGCAAATTCAATTGCATAGCTGGTCGCGAGTCGCTTGCCCGAAATCCTGTAATAGAAAAATAAAAAGCAAGTGGTKCCACAATGGCACCACCACCGGCCATTGGCTATATCATTATGCAGGCGGCGTACGCCATTATCGTTTTGCTCTCATTTCCGTTTTCGTTTTTCGGCATTCGTTATTTTTTTCATTTAAAAGGAAACGCTACGGAGGCGTGGCAATGAGTGCATCTGCTCCCACTCCCCATCACTCCTCCTTCTGCTGCTGCTGCTGGTGCTGCTGCTGCTATTCACCTACATTTTAAGTATTTTTGTCACAGCAATAACTTTCATGTCAGTCCACAAACAGAATTTAACGGCTGCTCCCACTCACTCAGCATCTCTCTCACGCTTTCGTTCTCTCTCTCTCTTTCTATTTGCAGGCAAGCATCGCGCTTAAAACAGTGGCTGGGCAATAGAAAAAGCAAACAGCGTACGACTCTGCTTCTGGGCCAAAACAGAGTTGCCTTTTGTGCCCCGGCTTGGCAATTGGCCAAGTTAATAGAGAGCGTGGGCAGACGCCAATAATGACGTTGCTGCTGCAGCAGCTGCTCCTGATGTTGATGATGACGTCGCTAACTTGGTTATTGCTGCTGCCAGCATAGAAAATTGTCAGACACCCAGACCGAGCCAAAGGCAGACCTAAAATAAAACAAAGGCATTCGCCCAGCTCGCCCCCGCTGCCCGCGGCGACTCACTGCTGACCGAGTACCAGGGCTAGGAGCCAGGAGCCGGGAGTCGGCTTACTGCATTTCCGGTTGTTGTTCCTGTCGCCGCTGTCACCATGCCGCCACTCCATATGGCCGAGAGCAAYGGCATGGCCTGGCCGCTCCTGCTCGCTGTGATTGTGATTGTGCTCAGCGGTAAGTACCACGCCCCCTACCKACCATCGCCCACCACCACCACCTTGTTCTGTATTCATATTTATGCCAGCGGCTGGCATGGCCAAAGCATTTAGTTAAGTTTCGCTCTTATTGTTGGCAGAGTTAATTGTTGGCATTTGTTTGACGGCAAGTGCCTTGCTTTGCCTGCAGYCAGTGAATGGCTGGCAACTGCAGCGCCAACAAATGGAMGGGATTTTGTTTCAATTAACAATTAGTTTGCACAAAAGTTTTTCTGTACARTCCTTTATTTTTATTATTTTTTGTATTTGGCCAGCCAAAGTTACCGCAAAAGCCCCTCGTTTGCCATATTCCATCAAATGAAATAATATTGCGTATACGCCCCATGGCCATGGGTCGTCGCCGAGTGAAAAGCAAAAACTTAAATGCTGAAGGCAGCTAAAATAACTGCATGCATCCGAGAAATACAGTTGCAGCCAGAGCAGCAGACGGTTCGCAAATTGCATGCATGTAGAATGAAGCAAATCTGATAAAGTTGCAGTCAGAAATTAAATACATATACATAGCCATGTATGCACAGAGGCAAGAGTGAAGGCAAAGTTTGGCATGCTTGCTTGCTTTCCAGCTGGAGGTACTACAATATTTAAAAGCCAATTATATATCAGCTAGTCAAGGCAACAGCCTCAAATTAAAGAATCATGGCTATACATATTTGATAGCAGCTTCAGCTGAAGGAAAAGCTCACACTTAAGTAACTGTGAAAAAACGTAAATATATATTGGGAAAATAAAATAATTGTATTTACACTCGACCACTGGACTAAAGCAATTAAAACTCTTGCGGAAATTTCAACAAAAAACTTTTGCTTGTTGAGCAATTATTTTAAAATCTCTCTCGACCAATACAAATTGAATGAAATTGACCATGTGCATATTCGACCCGAAGCTCGCTTCAAATGAATGCATGTATGTGTGTGCATTTGTATGTGTGTATTTAGTAAATGGCGTGCGGGCATATCAATAAAACGGCATGCAAATTGCGCATACGCCACGTGCGCCAGTTTGATTGCAACAAATTAACAAAACGTTTTAGCTAGGCCACGATTAAAAGGCCCAATAAAAAGTTGGAACATGATTTAGGTCTGCCAGGCCAGGCTAGGTCTGCCTACTGATAGCTGCTATAAAAATGCGACACGCAACAATACAACAGCAGCAACAACAACACCATCAGCAACTCATTTAATTAACAATTTCCGGGGCAGCAGACGGCTGATTCTTAATGCATTTGATTTATGCTTAACGTGTGGTAAATTTATTGCAGCTACAGCAACAAATAGCGCCGCGCACGGTTCGATGGAACAATTCAAAAAATGCTCGAATTAATTGCATTTACGGCAACAAAAACTACAAAATGGCCAACACATATTTCAAAATTCAATTAAAATAAAACAAAAATGAAATGAAACGAAAACGGACCGCTGCTGCTGCTGCAGCAACGACACTATGCAATTTCCGCTCAAGGGCGTGCCCAGGTGGGCGTAAAAATAATTAAAGCGCAACAAAAACAAATATTGACAACAAGCGACGGCAGCTTCCGCTCGATGTCGACAATTATTGTTGTTGTTGTTTTTGTTTCAGTTTCTGTTTTGGCTTTCGCGTCCGATTGAATTACAAACTCCATTTGAAATATACATAAACAACTAAAAGGCACAAAATGGTTAGAAAGCCAAAGGTGTATATGTGTGTGTGTGTGTGGGTGTCGGTGTCTGTGTGTTTGTGTAGGTGAACTCAATTGACTGATAGCGGGCAGCTGCTTGCGGGCAATCTCTGGGCTCTGCGCCACCAGGCGAATGTCAATTTAATTAGCACATTCAACGCTTTTAGCGCAACTAATCGCAGAGAGCGCAACCATCAATCAATCAATCAATCAGTCGGTCAATATATCAATCAGCGAACGCAGCCGACAATTTCGCTGAGTGAATTTGTGTGTTTTGTGCTTTGTGGCGTGCAAAAAGGTCAAAGAAAAAACTGGCTAAAAAAAGGAAAGCAAATGCGATGGAAACTAATTGACAAGCGAATACTCTTTAATTGTGCAGACGGACAATCTAAAAAGGTCAGAGCCGAGCTGAAGACATAAATAACGAGAATATAAAGCATATACTACAGCCTGAAAAACCTTGAACATGATTAAACAGAGATGGAAAAGGAGATGGAGGAAGATTCCTTTAGGTAGATATTTCCGATGACTGTGGATATGAAGAAGTCAAAATCGGCACTGAAACGTGTACAGCATTCATTGATAACTTTTATCAGTTCCATATACTCGTAGATGACAATATTTTAGTTATTTGAGCATTTTAGTTATACACACATTTAGATTTCAAGTTCCAAGCTCCTTTGCTCTGCAGTCAAGCAGTCTGACATCTTTTGCTATACTCATATACTCCTGCACTCAATTCATATATGTAAGTACATATATAAAAGGAAAATATCTTAAGCTCCACACACACACACACAAGCTATCTACACACAAGTTATTCATTTATGCATGTGTGCAATGCTTTTATGATAGTTATTAGACTTGTCTGGTGGCCATAGTGCATACTCTGCCGGCCTTAATCAATGTGAAATTTATATTAGCGTTCGTTTGCCATATTTTTCAATATATTCATAGAAATTGCAATATTGATTATGATTGATTTAGTGAGCCGGCAAAGCAGCATATTATTTTTATGGCAATGGGCACGAGTGCATATATTGTTCGACTGGCTGCATGCGATTGCGATTGCCGTGCACAGCAAATTATTCAAAGTTAAATTTACGAGTTGTGCGAAGCTCCATAAAAGCAATTTTAATATTAATAATTTAAAGTTGGTCAGCTATACACAAACACACACACACACACATACACACACGCACACACTCACTCACTCATACACTGTTGTGCAGCATAGAAATTGCAGATATTTTTGTGTAAAACTTGTTTTATTTGTCCAGACAACGCAAAAGTCCAAAAAGAAGTCAAATAAATAAATGCATTGGAATGAAATTCGGCGAATAGCGTAAAGCAAACGTGCCAAACGGGTCGGCAACAAGCCAACACACAGGCTGCTCCACTCACCGCTCTGTCTCCCTCCCCGCCTGTCTGGGGGTGGGGATTGGGGCGGAAATGGAGTGCTTGCCTGTGCGCGGTCGATGGTCAAATATTTGCAACAAACTTTTTGGCCTGGCCAAGTCATTGAACGTTGGCTTGGCGAACTCAAACAGAAAGCACAAAACAAAAGTTCTACAATTCACGTCGAGTGTGTGAGCGTTGCAGCACAGCAAATGGACTTACGAAATACCCTGTAATAAATATTTAATGCACAGCTAGATCCATTCTACTTAGAGCCTGCCACATACTCCTTAAAATGAAAAAGCGAACAGCAGCGGCGCATACGAATTGCGTTGGGGCCTCGGCCAGATGGCATGAAACCTCTCCAGCAGCCGAGCAAAAAATTGCCACGTAGGTAATTGAGTATGAATGTGGAATGTGTCGAAAGCGTTTTTGATATTTGCCAAACAAAACGTTGGCATGAAAAGACGTGAATAAAGCAACAACAACATATACATACACACACCAGCGAAATGCCCAGAGAAGCTGGCCAGGCGGCGCCACAGCGAGGACTCCAGGTAGCATGTGTGTGTGTGTATAGGTGTGTGTAGCTGTGTGTAGGTGTATGAGTGTGTGGGCGTGGGTGGCAAGTTGGCAAGCAAAACAAGTGGAAAATGAATTCGATACATTATCATGACGTCAAGTCGTGCGTGGTGACTGGCCGGACCGGGCGGGGCTGCCGGGACTGGGGCCGGGGCCGGGGCCGGGGCCGGAGCAGCGACTCAGGGCCAAAGTGGCTGCCAAAAAAGTATAAATTACGTGTAATGCGGCGCTCCCTATCGATGGCAGCCATTTCTTATGCGAAACACCTGCAGCAAGGCCGACAAACGGACGGACGGACTGACTGAGTGACTGGCTGGCTGGTAGACAGAGAGACAGACGGACGGACCAAAGCAAATGTGCGCATAAATGAATTACCAATGAACCGCATGCGATGCTCTCTACGTGCCACATTTTATTTTCAATTTGGATCCGAACGGAGAAGTCGAATCGAGCTACGCTTGGGCGCTAATTTGTGGGCGGTATCCACTTCCAGATGGCCTAGCACAGCCGGGTATTTAACCATCTGACAGATGCGCTGCACAAAGTACCCAGCTAGAGTACTAGACAGCTATTGCGGAGCGCGGGCGAAGGGGCTCCATTCGACAGCCTACATAAAAGCGCAATTTGCGCCATTATGCGTCGAGTTCCATTTGATTAGAACACGATGACACGAACGACGCACTGCTCAAGTTGTGGGCGTGGCGTGGACCGGGGGTAAAAGCAATTTCACTAAATCTGCAATTGTTATGTCGCCTGCTAAACAACTCACTTTGCCACACACACACACACAGAGAGAGAAACGAGCAACTGCCTCTCAGGCGGCTTCTTCCATTTGGGTAGCCATAAAAGCCAAACGTTCTCACACGTCAAATATTTATATTGCATTGTTCCCCTTCCACTCGTCCCCTTCTCACTCTCTCCCTCTGTCCCTTGATCATTGTTCCTGTGCGATATGATTTGGGTATTGATTAAGCGTCAATGGGGAGTTTCCTTTGCTGCCGCCGCTGCCGCTCCTCCTGCCGCTACTGTGCCACTGCCTCCAATTACTGCAGCGCCTTACATCCCCATGCGAGAACATTTTTCTCTCTACACAGTTTTACAGCATTTTTATGCTACATGGCAAGAAAAATGTGGGCAGCAATATGCCATAAATCATGCAAAACGATTTGATGGCCTCTATTAGACAGTTTATGGGCCTAGTTAAAATGTTTATGGCCCAAACTTGACGGTGAGCAGCAATTAAGCATCATGCTACTGCTGATCAGCTCCTAATCAAGAGCCAAGACCAGCTGGCGCACATACAACTCTGAAAGGATTGTCTCGATAACAAAAAGGAAAAGGAAATTGCTCAATTGCCAAATCAATCGAATTGTTTAGTTAATTTGGCAACTCACACTGAAAGGACTCTTGTTGCTTTCTTTAACTGCTTAAATGCTTATACTTCTCTCTCTCTACCTCTCTCTCTCTCTCTCTCTCTTACTCTTTTTCTCTCTCTATATGTAACTGTCCATCTACTTATCTAGACAGATATCAATCAATCTCTCCATCATGTATATTCGATCAAATATTATTCTTTGTTCTTACTCTCTGTCTCTCTCTCTCTCTCTCTCTCTCTCTCTCTCTTATTTTCCGCGCTCTCTCTCTCTTTCTCTCTCTTATCTACCTTCCTTCCCTCGCCTCAAATTTAGTTTCCTTCTGCATCACTCTCTCGTCTTCAATCAAATCTTATATGTAATTGCTCTCAAATTCTGATATTCAAATATTCAGTGCTGATTATTTCTTTCAGTGCACCTGCTACCAATTGATGAGCAGTGATTACACATTTCAATGTTTATTGGAATGGCGTTTAGCATCTGACTACGTGAGCTGAGGGCACTCAGACGCACGCACAGACGGGCGAGTATTTGGTTATGCGAGGTGTTTTGTTTTTACTGCCTCCTGTTTGAGAATTCCCTCGAGTGCACTTGATGCGCTGCCTCACGAGCCGCGAGAATTGTTGAGAGATTGTGTAGATTCATTGAATTTGAACGCTTGTCGATTGTGAATTGTTTTCGCCAAGCCAAGTCGTGCAGAGGCAGAGACAGAGGCAGAGGCAACGCAACTTGGCCTACTCTCAGAGCGCCTGCTCAACTAGCCAACTGCTGTGCACATACTTTCATTTATACTCATACACATATACATACAAATATATATGTATACATATACATATACATATACATATAATACATTTAAGCAAAGCATTTCCGCTGCACTGTTTACTGTTGACTGTGTACAAACAATTTCCGCAGCTAAATCTACCCAAGCAGCAGATGGCAATATGTAATGGCTGCTCAAGGCTATTTATGGCAACCAATACGCATTGATCCTGCGGAAATTTATTGATGAATTTCATTTCATTTCATTTCATTTGGCTCACGCGCACCTCTCGAAATTGCTTTATTTTCAGCTGCGTCGCTTTTCATGCCCTGTGCGCCACATGCCGAAGGGCATATTAGCACTGCCAATGGGAATTCATTTCACATGACTAGCAGATGAAAAATATAATAGAATCAGCCTGATAGTTAACTCAAGTTTAAGACTTTATGTAAGGACAGGCATTAGTTAGTCGTCTATACCCGTTTGCAGCTATACTCTGTTGCTCTCAATTCCAACTGTAAACCAGAGCTAGAACACACGATTCCGAAACTTTGGCCGGGTTGTTTGTTTGCTTTTCATTCGTCAGCGCGCTGGTTGAGAGCCCAGACATTTATATAGCTACCCACCTACTGCCAGAGGGAGACAGACAGCGAGAGTGAGCGAGGGAGAGAGAAAGGTATAGAGTGAGGTATGGGTGAAAACGTTGCTGGCATCTAAAGTGGTTGCGATTAGTTTGCTAATGTTGTAATTTCATCATTGGACGCCACCGACGTCGCGACGTCGCGACGTCGCAGCGCAGACGCTCAGGCGGCGGCGGTGGCAGAGGCAGCGGCATCAGCAGCAGCTTAACTAAACATCATCAGGTACTTGACAGCCTGGAGACCGCAATTTGCTGGCAATGGCGAAGGGCTGAGCCGCCGCCATTTGAGCCACTCTGCAATTGAGCCACTGACCAACTCACACCACCACTCAGCATCCGCTCATCCACTTGGGCCGTGGCTCAAGTTTTGTTTCGAATTGCGAGTTGCGCTCTGCACTCAACTTTCGTCGATTCATTGATGTGAGTGGCAGAAAATACCAAATATATTTCTCTCCTTCATTCTCCCTGTTTTTTCCCTGTTTTCTTCTTATATAGATTATTATTATTTTATTTTATTTTTTTTTTTTTTTGGGTTGGACTTTTCGTATTGAAAAGGAAATGAACTCATAAAAAGTAATTTGGCCATAATGCTTTGGTCGAGTTAGTTACTTGATTTGCAGTTGCGAATAAAGTTTCGCTTTATTAATTTCGCTGTTAAATTTTGTTTATGTTTTTCTTGTATTTTTGTTGTTGTTTTGCTGTCTTTCTTGTTGTTTTTGCTTTTCGTTAGCCACTTAAGAACTTGCCTGCTGCTGAAGTTTGCCATAAAGCTAAAAAGTTGAGCATTATACAAAATGAAATAGCATTTATTGTTTTTAATGTGCGTTTGAATACCCATTAGCTATAGGGTATATCAGGTATATCAGTACAGTAATCGATCTTCTTATATGTATATGTAATTATCTGTTTTATTGTGAGCATTTTTACTTTTGTAAAGGGTATCCTTTAGTCGGGCATATTTGCTCGGTATCTCTTTTCTGTTTTTGTTGCAAATTTCGATTGAGCTCACGACTCAAATTTAATTTGCCCTTCGTATACTTCGTTATGCTTATTGACATTTT